GCTGGGCTTAAGTCTAGCGGGGCTAGCCAGTCAAAACGGTGGATGGAGAGAAGAACCCTGAATGGTGTCTCCATGTGGAACCAATCAAGGAGCACGTACTGATTCAGTCTGCCTAGGTCCAAAACTGGACGCCTGCCACTTGTAGATTTGGTACTACGAACACATTTGAACTTAGTTCCGGCTGATGTACCCTGTGTATGGCGTCTTTCCCCAGCAAACTGCTACTTCCTGTCTGATTGCTTCAGGCCTTGCGGGAGTCCCCTGGCAGTGCCCAACAGGGCCAGGTGGCCTCGGTCACGTGGGTTCGTGACGTAAGGGGTAAAAGAATCTTGAGGTCATGGGGCTTCCCCTGACCTGGATTCTATCTCTTCGTCACCGGCAGAATCGCTGAATAATGCCTACAGTTCAAAATAGTCATTTTGACTGACCGGAGTCTATGGTGATAATTGAAGGTAGTGAATTTTACTGAATATTACGATCATGGCATCTAGGTTTTGTCGCATTAAAAATAAAATGATGGTTGTACTGAAAAATGTAGGTATCTATGGAACTTTATCTATGGAAGTCTTTAATAGTTTCACTATGCTACCGGTAATATACTTACCTACCAGCCATTTGAATACCAAGGGATCGTGGGTAGTTACGCATGGCAACAAGCACCAACTAAAGAAAAAAAAGATGAAGTGTAGATGTATTACAAATGTGTACTCTGCTGGTTGGCTGGTTGGCAGAAGACATATTGTCATGAATTTTATGAGTCAGGAAAAATAACAACTTTATAGCAGTGAAGATTCCACCAGAATCATTAAGACAACAGCGTTTGTTTCAAATAGTATCAAAATGCGTAATGTAATGTAATTAATTATTGATTCAGACAAACAAACAAGTAAATAAAAACAAAAGATGTGTTGAAATAATTTTTATAGCACTTTGTTCAGGCAATGAACGTCCTTTTACAAATCACCCGAAAGTCATAGTGAAATAAACAAGCAGCCTCTCCGCTGAGATAGCTCCGCTGTTAGCAATACACATTTCAATTAAAAGAACAGAAGATATCATTAGAAAATGAACAATATGCATAGTATCAATGCTATGGGACTTGCTGTTTTCAACAAGAATTCAAAAATATCATTTTTGACCATAAATGATTGTGGTTTTTAACAAGAAGAAAATATCACTTTTTACCAAAAATGACAAAAATATTCATCAAAATTAGAGAATTGAAGATATGATCATGAAATGAACAAATTTGAGAGTGGTCCACATGTAGTACATATATATGTAATATCAAAGCAATTGGACTTGCGGTTTTTAACAAGAAGTTGAAAATATCACTTTTTACCAAAAATTACAAAAATATTCACCAAAATTAGAGGATTGATGATATCATTACAAAATGAACAAATCTGAGAGAGGTCCACATGTAGTACCTATATATGTAATATCAAAGCAATTGAACTTGCAGTTTTTAACAAGATGTCGAAAATATAATTTTTTACCAAAAATTACAAAATATTCACCAAAATTAGAGAATTGATGATATCATTCCAAAATGAACAAATCTGAGAGAGGTTAACATGTAGTACCTATATATGTAATATCAAAGCATTGGACTTGCGGTTTTTAACAAGAAGTCGAAAATATCACTTTTTACCAAAAATGACAAAAATATTCACCAAAATTAGAGAATTAAAGATATCAACATGAAATGAACAAACCTAAGAGAGGTCTACCCAAGGTACATATACACCAAGTATCAAAGCATTCAGGCTCGTAGTTTTCAAGAAGAAGTTGAAAAAGTAAAACAATGACACGGACGACGGACGACAGACAACGACGGACAATCACTCATTTGATAAGCTCCGCTCGACAAAGTCGACAGCGGGGCAAAAAATTTGAGGTTGAAAATGTTTTTATCATTGATGCATGTTGTCAACAACAAATCAGTATCACTTCCATGTTCTAAATAGCTATTTTGAGTAAGATTTTGAATTATGACAAAGAAGAAATTCAAAATATTCAATTCTGCCAATTTCAGTGAAAAACAGAGCATTCACTATAAACTATATCAATTATGACAACAGAGGGCGCTATCACATCCAATTATAGATTGTGATTCAACCTTTTGTATCCCATAATTTTTCCCATCAAAATTATAGATGTAAAAATTTGCATATTTTTCAATAATTTTTTAATTAATTTTGAAAAACGACTTTTTTGTTTACCAACAGGAATGGATGAAAATTGTTCCAAAAATATTAAAATAATTAGATGGGTTTATTTTGTGAAAGGTGACAGAAATTGACATTGGTGTAAACACAACGTTGCCATGGTGACTTGGCAAGACCAACCTACCTCAATAATATCTACACGTGTATTATTCAAGTAGTTTGTTTTGTC